AAAGCTACACAGAGAAACCCTGTCTCGAAAAACCAAAAAAAAAAAAAAAGAAGAAAAAGAAACAGAAATGTTTTTTAAATCCTGAAACCAAGCTGGGCAGAGTGATGCAATCCTTCAGTCACAGCACTTGGGAGGCAGAGGCAGGCAGAGCTCTGTGAGTTCGAGGACAACCTGGAGTTCCAGGACAGCCATGGCTACATCGTGAGACCTCATCTCTGAAAACAAATAAACAAAACAAACAAAAAACCCAAACCAAAACAAACCAACAAAAAACAACCCTGAAACTAGTGTGCTGGTTACTTCTAAATGTCAACTTGCCACACCCTAGAATCACATGAGAAGGGAGCTTCAGATTAGGGGCAGCCTAGATCATGCTGGCCTGCGGGCATGTCTGCAGGAGGTTGTCTTGACTGTCAACTGATGTGGAGGCCCAGCCCACTGCGGGTGGTGTCATCCCTAAGCAGGTGGTCCTGAACCGTAAGTAAGCTGAGTAGAGCTAGCAAGGAGCATCCTCGGTTCCTGCTGCGGTTCCTAGAACACCAGCCAGTCTGTCTTTAAAGTGCCTGCCTTGACGTCCCTTAACGATGGCCTATAACTGGAACTGTAGGCTGAAAGAAACCTTTTTCTCCCCAGAGTCACTTTGGTCAGGTATTTGTCACAGCGACACTCAGTGAAGGGGCTTTCCTACACACACCCATGCCCGCATTTTGCTGTACTGGGAATGGAACACATGGTAGGCAGCGCTCTACCACCGACTTATGTCATAATACAAAATGTTTGCAACTTCTTTTGGATATGATTATTTCAAATCTAATTAATAAAAACTTTCAACCTAATGGAAAGTATTTCCAATTATAAAGAAAATTTGGGCTCAAACCGCCTGCCTCTGCCTCCCGAGTGCTGGGATTAAAGGCGTGCGCCACCACCGCCCGGCAGCAAATGTTCTTAACCACTGAGCTGTCTCCCCAGCTCCTCCCCCAACCCCATCCCATGCAACTCGTAATGGAAACCATCAGAGGCAGGAGAGATGACTCAGTTAGGAGCATCATGGACAGCTCTTGCAGAGGACCCAAGTTCAGTTCTTAGCACTCCTGTTAGACTGCTCACATCTGCCTGAAAGTCCAGGTGCAGGGGATCTGACTTCTCTGACCTCCATGGGCACCTATGCTCATGGCTCATAAATATATGTTTATTATGAATTAAAAATAGAAGTTTTTAAAAAAGAAAGAAAACCAGGGCTGGAGAGATGGCTCAAAGGTTAAGAACACTGGCTGCTCTTCCAGAGGACCTGGGCTTGATTCTTGGCACCCACACAGCAGCTCACAACTGTCTGTAACTTCAGTTACAGGGCATCTGATGCCCTCTTCTGGTCTCTCCAGGCACAGCACACACACACACACAGAGTGCACAGATAATCATGCAGGCAAATCAGCCATACACACAAAATGAGAAAGATAAATAAAAGAAAAAAATTAGCATTTTGAACTCTATCTCGACTGTTTAGTGTGTATATTCCTCCAGATACTCATTTTTCTGATTTCTTTTGCTTTCTGAAATAAGTCTTGCTATGTAGCCCAGGCTGAAACCCAACAGTGGAGTCTCCTGCCTCTGCCCTCCAAGTGCTGAGATTATAGACATTATTACCACACCTGGATCACTGTATAGGGTTTTTTGTTTTGTTTTTGCAAATGTACATCTGTACTTTTCAGATAAACAAGCTAACTAGACCTACTGAGTCCAATCTTTCTTCTTTCAGTTAAGAGCTTAAATATCTCTTCAAGTCAGTACAGAAATTGACTTCATTTTTAGCAGTTCCATTTTATAACTACACTATAATTTAATAACCTAAATAGGTCTATTTATAGTTTCATAAAGAACACTGAACACATATTATACAATTACTATTATGTCTTTTTTGAAACAGAATCTTGCAATGTTGTTCCAGCCCGTCTTGACTTCATAAGCCCAAGTGACTTTTACTTCAGTATATCTGGAGGTTTATGTCGCTGGACCTGGGCAGCTGCTAGTAGTATTTATGGACTAAAGTTTGAACTTGGGTTGAAGCTGAGAGTTTATATTTTAGGAGACATTAAAGTGCCCTTTTAAAATGCTAAAAGAAATGTTCCTGAAAAACAAAACAACAACAACAAAGATCAAGTTCTCAACTAAGCTGCTGCAGCAAACCCAGGCACAAATGCGGATGGGCCAAAGCAAAGCTTCAATGAGCTTGCAAGGCAGGGAAGGAATACAGCCAGAATCATAACTGGGACTAGCTGCTGGGAGAAAACGGAGTCTCAGGGTGGGAGAGTACTGGCCTAGCATGCAGAGGCACCAGTTCACTCCAGAGCAGCGCAAACAAACGAACAAATAGTGACTGCACCTCCTTATTGTCGCCTGAAAACTCCCCGCTCAGAGAGACTGGGAAGCTCCCGTTTACACTCCAGAATGGAAAGCCCTGCACTCAGCAGGGTGACTGACCTGGAGATGCTCCTCGGGCACTATAACGGGGCCACACTTGGTATGCACCGCACACTCCCCAGTACAGTATCTGTGTGGATCATTTTCCTTCCGCAGGTACTGGTTTGTTGCACATTGCCTTTGGGTTATTCATACATCAAAGGAAGAGAAGAGTTCACAGCAGTTAACACACAGCCATACGCTGGCAGCCACGTGCGCTGCCTGCCACCTAGTACTTCTCCCCCATCATGGACCCTAACTCTCTGAACCACAGGCCCCAAATGAGCCCTGCCTTGGTCACGGTGTTTTATCACAGCAACAGAAAAGCAGCGAATACACCCCTCTATGACTTCATTAAGAATGGTTATTATTTAACTAGGCAGACAGTTCCCCAAGAGACTTCGGGTGTACAGGGAGTCCTCTTGACTTGGGTTATCAAATACCTCACAAAGCAAACACCACCACCACATGGAGGAGGGGTGGAGACATGAACAGCTTCTAATGGGAAGGCAGGGAAAGGGGGTCATTCAGCAGGTGCTTTCTCAACCCTTTTAAGCATCTTGTAGTTTTGCTTCTAAAAACACATGTAACAAAATTCCACTATAAAGTTCACACACTGTCGTATGTTCACACATATGGTAGAACGGGGAGTTCACAGAGCTAAGTGGATGGAGGAAATGGTCACCGCCTGACGTCACATACCTGCTCAGTAAGATCCTGCCGGCAGGTCGACGAACCTGAAATGTTTTCTCTAAGTAAGAAATAGCTTGCGGGAAAAGTTTGTTCTAAATAAAACAGAAAAATTGAGTTAGAATCACAGTCGTGGGAGACAGCGCGTTTAAGAAAACAAGCAGGGAATATTAACGGTTATAAGACCGAGGAAGAAAACTCCTGGGATTCGGGAATGCAGACACCTGACCGAGGTCGTGTGGCAGCAGAGAGAGCGAATCCAGGAGGGAAAGATGCTCGTTTTTCTAGTGGAGTCTGGAAGCAGGGCACTAAGCAGATGCCAGCTCCACCTTATCCACTCCGAAAACATCATCTCAACTACTGATGACTGAGACCATTAATGAAGATGTATATTCCAACTATTAGTGATTGTTTCAAATGTGAGGTTGACTTAGATTCTAGTATTAAGGTGGCTTCTTATGCAAGAGCTCATTGAGTTCTGTGGGCCATAGAGAGCTGGCTTCATATGGACTGTGGGACCCCACGGACGGTTAAAAATCTGATGAGGGCTGGCGAGACAGCTCAGCAGGTCAAGGCATTTGGTGTGTAACACTGACGACCCCAGTTCCATCCCAGGAGCCCAGAGTGGGAGGGCAGATCAAACCCTGAGAGCCGTCCTCCGACCTCTACCTGTGCCTGTGTGTGTACATGAGTGTGTGTACACACACACACCCCTTGACGAGATGGACTCTATTTAAAAAAACCTCTGAGGCTGGTGAGATGGCTCAGGTTTTTTTGTTTTGTTTTCCTGAGCTGAGGACCAAAACCCAGGGCCTTGCACTTGCTAGGCAAGCGCTCTACCACTGAGCTAAATCCCCAACCCCAAGATGGCTCAGTCATAAGGGCATGTGCCAATAAAGCTTGACCCCTGACGAACTCAGTTCAATCTTGGGAACCTATGAAGGAACGAGAACCACTTCTGAAGTTAGCCTCTGACCTCTGCACGTGCACCCATACTCAGACATCACACACATACACAGTAATAATGATAAGAATAATGCCTCTGCCATGTCACACTGTCATAGCAACTAATCCTTAGGAAAAAGAACACTCTCATGCAGAGAATGGTGTTCTCAATGTACTGCAAAAAGTGTCCTTTGCACCCTATCCTCAGCATGCTTTGATCCCCCAAAACATGACAGACCGAGAAAAAAAGAGAATACTGATTTAATATCAAGTTATAAAATGAGTAATTTATATCAAAGTCCGACAAACTTTTACTAAGCATATACAAAATGCCTTTATTAAAATGAAAAATACATTTACTACCAAAATCTCTTACTCATTCATAAACCAGCCATGTATGTGGTTTCTTTTTCATGGGAGAATCAGCGCATAGTAAAGTGTACCTGTTTGAAGTATCCATTTGATGAGTATTTATTATTACATTACATACCTTTACAAGGTATCTTTTCTCAGGAAGCAGCCTGAAAATAAGGAGAAAAACGTAAGAAGTGCTGCCCTAAGGGTTGGTGGCGTAGCTCAGTGCTGTGGCACTTTCCTGTGGGTACAAGGCCCTGGGTTCAGTCTCTATGACCACACGAGAAAAGAGCGGCCACCCTGAGTCACAGCACATCCTGTCTCTCTGGACTGCATCTCAGGGACCCTAGGACGGTCCGTGCAGAAGCGCACAGCTGCAGATTTGGGAGCTTGTCTTCCAAAGTCTCAGCTTACCTCGATGGGTCTTCGAGACATCACCCTGTGCCCCAGCATGGAGCTAAGCATGATTACACATTATCTCTTTCATTCTGGATGGAGCACTTCATAAACTACTTCAGACTCATAGTCTACCTGCTGTCAGGACCGCTCTTGGACGACATACCAGTCGGACAACATAATCTACCTACTGAATGATTCTGTTAACTTCCTTATTGTTGTTTTTATTTGTAACTCCTCTTATTTTTTCTTTGAATACTTACTGACAAGTGTCTTCCAGGTCTGCTACGGCCACAGTCAAGTAAGATCAAATTTGTTCTCTTTAAATTATCCATGATAAACAGATTTTAATTACATACCATGGCCTCTTGTCTATTCAGAATAAAAGGCAGTTTCAACTCAGTTTCATTTTAAGAGTTTCCTAGTTCTACCTATGGATATTATGCTAAATATCCATGAAAATATATTTAATACTTAGACTGACAATAGAAAAAGATGACAAATGCCGGGTAGTGGTGGCGGCGCACGCCTTTAGTCCCAGCTCTCGGGAGGCAGAGCCAGGCGGATCTCTGTGAGTTCAAGGCCAGCCTGGTCTACAGAGCGAGATCCAGGTCAGGCACCAAAACAACACAGAGAAACCCTGTCTCAAAAAACCAGAAAGAAAAAAAAAGAAAGAAAGAAAGAGAAGACAGGGCTTCGGCAGGAAGATGTTGAGCGGGTTCGAGGCCGGCCTGGGCAGCACAGCAGGGTATCTCAAACAATGAATGAACGGCAGAAGCCGACAGACTTACTCTTCGATACTCTGATCATAGACAGTCTTGATTCGCAGATGCCCATCAGCCTCTCTCTTTACGACATGACTTGTCTTAAGATGAACCTTGTTTATGACCTAGAAGAATGAATAGTTTGAAAACTCTTTTGAAAAGATCGATAAGACCTTTTTCTTTATATAAGTAGAATTTAAATATAATGTGTGTTCATTGAACTACACACTTGAGACCCAAACACAATTAATGAGCCAAAATTAAAGTGTAATACTCCCCCAAAAGTCCCTTACCTTATAGTCTAGGATGTTAGAAGCCTGAACCCCAATGTTTTCCAAGCCAACGTTATCATCTCAGAGATAAGCATTTTGAACTTGAGTGACGTGAGTAAATCACTATAGTAACTGCAGCTGCCAAAAGGGCTTGGATTTTGTTAATTATTTGTAGTCTGCCATACAGATGCTAAGTTTACTGACTCCAAGTCTTCAGAAAATGACAAAAGAGGCAGAGCATCTTGGCTCACACCATTATTCCCAGCCCCGGGAGGCAGGAGCAGGCAATCTCTGTGAGTTCAAGTGCAGCCAAAGCTACAGAGAGAATAGTGAGACTTTGTTTCGAAAAATGAAAGAAATGACAAGAGACTAAAAACGCGCGCGCGCACACACACACACACATACACACACGCGCGCGCATATGCATGCACAGATGCACATACACATTTGTGCACATAAATGTGGAGGCAAATGCCCTCCACCTTGTACTTTGAGACGGGGTCTCTCAAAGGCTTGGAAGGTGCCAAGCAGGCTAGGCTGTTTGGCCAGTAAGCCTCAGCCGTCCACAGCTCTGCTTCCCCAAGGCTAGGATTGTGAGGAGGATCTTCACCGTCCATTTTCCTTTTTAACCTGGGTTCGAGGACACCAAACTCAGGTCCTCATGCTTGAAAGGTAAGAACTTCACCAAATGAGCTATTACCCCAGCCCGAAAGAACCTTAAGTTACTTTTTAAAAAAGCAAAAACTTCATACAAGAGAGTGCTTCATTTATCTTTTCCCTAGCTCTCATTTACATGACTCCTCCCCCGTCCCCCCAGGAGAAATAAAAATTACAAAGGCTTATGGGCTGGAGAGGCATCTCAGTGGTTAAGAGCACCCGGGTTCAATTCCCAGCATCCACATGGCAGTTCACAACTGTCTGTAACTCCAGTTCCAGGGGATCCAACACCCTCACACAGACATACATGCAGGCAAAACACTAATGCACATAGAATAAATAAATGTTTAAATATATACACATATATGTGTGTGTATATATAGAAACTGTACCTCTGATTTATAAGACTACTTTTTTTCCCCCTGAGAACACTTCCCATTCTGGTTTTGCACAGGAATGTGGAGCCTTACAAGCTTGGTGGGCCCAAGTGTTCAGATCTTACAGTACCACGAAGTCTGAAAGACTGCCAGAGAGGGAAGCCCACAGCGTCCAGTACCCAGTAAAAACTCAACAGTCACGAGAAGAGGAGAATGTGACCCGTGCGGAGGAAAAACAGCAGCGAGTAGAAACTAACCCTGGGGACCTGAACTGCAGCAAGCACGTTAATGAAGCTCTCATATGCTCAGAGGCTTAAAGGGGAACAAGCATGGAATAAGATGTGAGGGAGCCAGCGGGCAGCAATAGAAAGAACCAAACGGAGGGGAACATGGCTGAGAAGAACACCACCTGAAATGAAAAGCTCACCGGAGAGGATAAAAGACCAGAGCCAGAAGTGATGCTGCGCATCTATAACCCCAGCACTCGGGAAACTGAGGCACGGGGATCTGGGAGTTCAAGACCAGCCTGAGCTACACAGCAAGTTCAAGGCCAGTCTGGACTACAGTCTTAAAGAAAGAAGTCCGAAGAAAATAAGAACATCAGATAGCATTTAGAGATGTTATCAAATGCGACTTATAAACCAGCTTGGGCTACATAGAGAGTTCCAGGCTAGTCTGTAGAAAGAGACCCTGTCTCAATAAAATAAGCAAACTAATCGAGCTGAAATACAGTGTGATGATAAAAGCTAAAGTCTTGCATGTAGATACACCGGTGTCTGAGAGATAGGGGCAAGGCATATCAGGAGATCACCAGCATCCTCCAACTCATGGCTAGCCTGGGCTGTATGAGACCCTGTCCGTCCGTCCTCCCCCCAAGAAAAGAAAGAAAAAAAGAAGAAACGCAAAGCAAAAAATCGTAAGACAACCACTTAACACTCTGGCTCATGTAGTTAAACAGCATACGTACATTCTTCATTCTTGGAAATTACCACAAAGTGAGTAGGCTGAGGTTTCTAGGCTGAAATGATTTTTTTTTCTAGGTAAAGCTTTCTTGGTAAAAGCTAAACGCCAATCGCACCGTGCAGTCCCGTCTGAGGACTGTCCCTTGCTTACTCCGAGAGAAGGACAAAACAAATGTTATCTCAAGGAACCTTAGGACTGAATTACACTTCGAGGCAGGTCTGAGAGCTAAGTGTACCAGAGTAGAACCTGGTTAAGCGCCAGAATACAGGGCAGATAAGGCGTTCTGTGGAAATGGAAAGAACAGTCTACTAGGTTGGTTTGTTTAGGCAGATCTGAGGTTGAGATCTGAACTAAGACTAAAGGAATTTAGACTGGGAGAGAAACCGGTGGAAGGAGGAACAGACTATGCCGGGCTAGGGGGAAGGGATAAAGTGATAAATAACTAGAAAACAAATGCTGAACTTTTGTCTCGGGAGACCTCTCAGTAGCCCTCCAACGGCTCCGTCCGGTTCTCCCCTAAGCTGCTTCCCAAGTCTTCAGATTAGTGGTTCCTGGTGCAGTGCTTGGGTGAGCAGCTTCCGTATCTAGGAATCTGAATTGCGGGGATGCATGCCAGACCTCCTGAGGCAGAAAGTGAGGGAGTGGGGGAAGCAATCTGTTTTAACAAGTGTTTTGGTAATTCTGGTGCTCGCCCAAGTTTGCAGGGCTACGGGCTTAGCGGAAAGGGAGGGGGACAAGCGCCTAACTCAGCCGCTCTGCCCGGAGCAGGGATCGGGCGCTGGCTTGCTCCTCGCAGGGCACCTGCAGTCCGGCGGCGCCCCGGACGCCACACCCTCCGCGGTACTCCAGCCCTCGCTCGCCCGGCCCGCTGGCGCCCCGCGTCGCCCTACCTCGGTGTCCGAAGGGACGTGATGCCGACAGGGAGGCGAAGTGCTCAGGGAGACCGGAGCAGCCGCGGCGCCGGCCGGGAGCCCGCCCAGCACGAGCAGGACGCCTCGCACCCACAGGCAGCCGGCCCAGCGGCCCCGCGGCCCTGCTCCCGGGCCGCCCGCGCCTCCAGCCCCAGCGGCCGCCATCTTCGGGCCGGCGTCGTTACCATGGAGTGCGACGCCTCCCCGCCGCCGCCGCCCGCCCTCGCCGCGGACAGGTGGCGGGCCCTCCGCCGCCTCGCCATTGGCCGGCATCACGCCGGGTCCGGCGGAGGGGCCAGGGCAGCGGCGTCCGCGCGAGCGTCGAGCTGGCCAATGAACGCCGCCGGGCGGCCCACGTGAACCGAGCTGTGGGAACCCGGGGCCAGCGGGGATGAGGGCGCGGCGGATGGGCGTGGGGGGCGGCGGCGTCGGAAGCAGCTGGTCCCACTCCGGTCGCTAGAACCGTACCCGCCAGCTGCCAGGACGCGCGGACCGACAGCTTAGCGTAGTCCTGTGAACCAGATCCTTTGCAGTCCGTGGCAGCCCCATCGCCGAACTGCCAAAGCTGCCTATACAACCAGCTAGGGTTACGGTAATCGTGGGGCAGCTTCCAGTGTTAGCCCAGGAAAAGTTGGGTGAATCCAGGCTACCTCGTATTTGAAGCCTCACTTGCCACGGCATACATAAACCACCCCTTATAAAGGAGGTTCAACCTTTCTCTCCTTAGCTCAAATGCTTAATTCTTACCAATTTCTCTATACTACCCTGTCCAGACTATTCACTGGCCACAGCGTGCCACACCAACCGTCGTTCATTTAAAATGACTGGCTCCCTAACCTTGTATCAATAGATAATAGAACATCTATTCAGCCATCAAATTTATCATTGTAACCTCCCTAACCAATTGCGTTTAAAATGTAAACTTTTTAAAGAATTATGTCATTGTAGAACCCACTCTACTTCAGTTCTCAAAACTTTTAAGATCGCAAATCCCACCTGACTAGTTTATAGAGGACTGCCAAGATAATCCAGTATTAACCTTTTCCCACCTGTTAATTTCCAGGAACGATGGAAAAAAAAATCCTCAGCACAGTACCGAAGACCTCTTGTGACTTTGCATTTAACAAAGTCATAAGCAATTCAGAAGGATCCGATTACACCTTGTTTCCTAAGACCTTGTCCTGAGACACCTAGTTCTCCACGTCCTTTTCACATTACACCATCCTTCATTTCTCTATTCCTGAGGTTGCTGACCACATTGTAACTGAGCCACAAACACAAGCTGCTTTGCTGGCTTTTTGGAAAAACAATTTTCATTGGAATAAACCCAAAATTGGCACTTCCTACCCTTGACACCCAGATTTTTACAATGTGAACTCCCGTAGGGATCTACAAGCTAGCCTATGTCTGATCAGATGGTCATAGCTGACCCACTGCCTCCCAAGCTCCTCTTTCGACACTCCTTTGGAGACCACACTCCCAACCAGGACCTGCAGAATGTTAACTGCAGCTTGAGCTAACCAGTCTTTTCCCCCAATGTCAAAGAAAAATTTGTGTGGGAAGAGGATTCACAAGGCTTTTCACAGTGTTAATGGCAATGGCTCAGGTAGAGTGAGACATTTCCAGTGCAATCTAAAGACTGGTTAATAAAAGGGCTTGCTAGGCACCCAAGCTGAAGACGCCTTCCTATTTCTAGCACATCCCCAAAACTACGTTTTGGAGCCCTACTTACCCTTGTAAATATGCTATCAACCCTGCACTGCACTTTAGTATAAAAACTTGTGACAACAGCTTGACCCACCCACCCAGTCCCAGCTTATGCGAATGGGGCAAATAACAAAAGGCCCGTTCAGATTCTTCCCGACTCCTTGCACTCAACTTCCCTGATCTATACCGAGCATGGATGCACTGTCCATCCCGGCACCTCACCGCACACCCGCAGCACCCAGGCCCAGCTCTACAAGTGTTTCACCTCAGGCCTAAGATGATTCAATGCTTCTTTCACTTAGGTTGACACTTTCCCAAAGCTTACTCACCCACCCACTACCCAGCAGTAAGGTACATTAACTTTGAGACAGGCTCTCACCACAGTCCTGACACTAAAGGTGCACGCCACCTCACCCAGCAACTTTTTTAATTTTATTTTTTGAGACAGGGTTCCCCTGTGTAGCCTTGACTGTCCTGAAACTCACTCTGTAGACCATGCTGGCCTTGTTAGAGACCCACCTGCCTCTGCCTCCCTTTAGCTCCTCAGATGGGGCTAAAGGTGTGCACTACCACCCACCTGGTGACAACATATCTTCTAATCATGTCTCTGCCCAATACTGACCATTACATAGAATTTCCCTGACTGAAAAAGCTGGACAACTTTTCCCACCACCTTAAACACAGGGCAACTTTTAGGGAAGTTCTGGTGAAAACAAAAATACAAGAGCACAAATCCACTTTTATTTATTTACTTTCATTAGTTTAAATCCGGGAAGGGTACAGCATCTGGGGAAAAAGAAAAGCATAAAAACATTAGGTGAATGTTAATAAACTTATAAATCACTGAATACGATTAGGATCAATATCCCATTACCCGATTACTCATCCCAAAATGATGAGTATACCTGATGGTTTATATCCGGATAGTTTAGGAAGTTTAGTTTGTACAGCATTTGGCCTTTAGGAAACAGGCTTAGGTACTAATACTTTATATATACACACGATCATCTACTTATGGCTCATTCATTTTTTCCAAAGAGTTTCCACCTCATTTTGAGATAGGAAGGTCTCTCATTGAATAAACCTAGAGTTTACAGACTGTACCATAAACACCAAGGATCAGGCTAGAGAGATGGCTCAGAGGTTAAGAGCGCTGACTGCTCTCCCAAACGTCCTGAGTTCAATACCCAGCAACCACATGGTGGCTCACAACCATCTGTAATGAGATCTGGTGCCCTCTTCTGGCCCGCAGGGATATATGCAGGCTGAACACTATACATAATAAATGAATAAATAAATCTTAAAAAAAGGATCCCCCTGTTTACCAAGTGCTGAGATTTCAGACACACTGCTGTACCTGAATTTTTTTTTTATGTGGCTTCTGGGTAAAGAACTTAGGACTTCATTCTTGTGCAGAAAGCTTTTTACCACCCGGGCCATATTCCCAGCCCCCAAAGCACAAGGCATTATTAATTCTAACTCTAATCAGGCCCCCGAGCTGAGCTATCATCCCTAGACCCCCAAACAGCATTCAAAACCGTAACAAGAATTTGCAAGGGACACTGAAATGACTCAGTGGGTACAGACACTTGACCCATGTATGACCACATGGAGTTCGATTTCTTAGAAGTGCCTTCCATAATGGAAGAGCTGACTCCCCCAAAATTGTCCTTTGACCTTTACATACTGCTGTGACATACGTGCCCATACACATAAATGTAAAATAGCAGCCCTAAAATGTAAGTATTAAAGCCAGGTATGGTGGCACTGAGTCTAACATTACCACCATTATAGTGTACCTCTGGACCCTAACTAAAGAAAAAACAATTGGCAAAAACATCATCTCTTTTTTTTCTTGGTTTTTGGAGACAGGGTTTCTCTGTGTAACAGCCCAGGTTGTCCTGAAACTTGCTCTGTAGACCAGGCTGGCCCGGCTGTGCACCACCATGCCCAGCTAAATCTCATCTTCTTAAACCTAAGACTAGGGTCCAAGTCCTGAGACCTAGAATGAGCATGCTTCCCACATATTCTGGGAGTATTGACATGAGACATGGCAAAACATACTGTAGCGCCCCCTCCACTCCCCAAAACATGTGTAACACAAGAAGAGCCTGGTAGCACTGGCCTGAAACCCCAGCTACTTGGGAGGCTGAGGCAGGGGGATCTTTAAAAGTTCAAGGCCTGCCTGGGCTAGGGTGAGTTTCAAGACCAGAGTGAACAACTCAGTGGGACCTTGTTTTAAAATAGTCTTGCCTGGGCTGGAGAGATGGCTCAGAGGTTAAGAGCACTGACTGCTCTTCCAGAGGTCCTGAGTTCAATTCCCAGCAACCACATGGTGGCTCACAACCATCTATAATGAGATCTGGTGCCCTCTTCTGGCCTGCAGTCATACATGCTGTATACATAATAAATAAATCTTTAAAAAAAAAATAGTCTTGCCTACATAACAAGTCCCAGGCCAACCAAAGCTACAGTAAGACCTGTCCCAAAGTCACAACCAAAAACCTGTCCAAGATATTTCTCCTGTCAGCCAGCTGAGCAAAACCTGAAACTCATGCAATTCACCCGAGCACCTGCCTTCACGGGGCTTCACTCGGCCGACACTCGAGCTTCTGTACCACCTTTCCTTAGGTCACTAGTTCACTGCAGTTTTACACTCACAAAAATCTTTAGACGCAGGCAGTAAGTTCACCCTTGAACTTATCTAGCCATTTATTTTGCTATTGGTACTCACCACACGGATTCTGTGTCCAATGGCCTTTGCAGGAAGGTTGCTTCGGAATTTGGCACGAACCATGCCACTGTTTCCATGGGCCCGGGTTACTTTTCCCCAGATCACTCTGGTTTTGTTTGGTTTGCCTCCAGGTGTCACTGTGTTGCTGGTTTTTAAAGGACACAAATGTGAGAGCCACCACCAACATAACCTGACACAATTCAGTTATTTCCTAGGACCAGGCTCTTCACCTCTAGTTTTCCCCACAGAATCCCTCGAGAAATTGAAAAAACATATATAGAATATTCATTCAGCAGTTCATACATGCCAAACAATTTTTACAGGATTATGACTAAGGACAGAAAGGACCTGCGTGTTCTAAAAAACACGAAAAGTTTTAAAGACACTGGGATGAAGCCCACTTGGGCTAAAAGAAAAAAAATGGAGACTTGGCCGCACAAGTCACCAGAGGATAACTGAATGTAATGAACCACTGAGTCCTGGCTGGCCTGGACTGAGAGACACCCCCCTAACTCTACCTCCCAAATGCTGGGATTAAAGGCATGCATCACTGGGGTTTTAAACATCCTCATGACTTATCAGTGTTTCTAAGGCCTTATGTTCAATTCCCAGGAGGAAGAGGGACAAGAGAGCCACCGCAGTATCCATCTTAAAGCACACACGTTTAAAAAAGAAATACAAAAATAGCCTAAGGGATTGAAATGAATCAAGATGGTTTGAAAAGTATTCTCTAAGGCCTTCTGGGGAAGGGGGGTTATTAACAGCTGTAATCCTTTTTAACCGTGTTAGAGACTGAACCCAGGGCCTTTCTACAACTGTAATTTTTCTAAGAGTCAATGTTGCCGATATTCAATCCCACCTACAAAAGGATTCTTCTGTAATTCCCGATAAAGTTCTTCATGGCCTCTAACCAGAATCAACAGCATCAAATTTTCACTAACATCTCTGCTTTTTCAGTAGAAAAATTAAAGGACACCAAAAAACACTTACTTTTTTGCTTTATACACATAAGCACATCTCTTGCCCAAGTAGAATTCAGTTTCATCTCGAGCATAAACACCTTCAATTTTAAGAAGAGCCGTGTGCTCTCTTTGGTTCCGGAGACCTCGCTTATAGCCAGCAAAAATGGCCTTGCACCAAAGCCTAAGACACACAAGATACACATTAAATGAGTAAACTATCACCACTTTTCATTGAACTTTTAGCAAAACCGCCACGACTTGTTTTGCAGCAACTCCTACTGAAGCCATCTCCCGCAAAGATCTCGCTCCCCTCCCGCCTTATTTCCAACGTGGGTCTCACATCTTAGGATTTAAAAATCCCGCAAAAAGCAACCGTACGGAGTCGCATACCTCCCAGACATGTTTGCCTTTTAGAAGTCCCGTTCCCAGCAGGCCTGAAAACAAACGAGATCGCGGATTAAAAGCCACGCAGCAGCCCGTCCCCGATCCCCCACGCGCGCTGGATGAATTCGGTCAACATTCCAAGGATTGGGAACTCCACGATCGGACTTCTGAGAATGACTGACAGCCAACGACTGGGAAACGTGGACCAGATGCGGGGCAGAGCCGCCAAGTGGGGCGCCCGGAGCCCAACCCCAGGCTCCCTCCAGCCGTCAGCGCCGCGCAGGGTGCACAGGCACCCACGCAAGCCCCGGCTCTGACTTCTAGGGACCCCCCGCTGCCGGGGCGAGCGAGACGGGCCCGGCTGTACCCATTCTCCCCTCCGGAGCCCGAGGACCAGCCGCCAAGCTTCCTCCCCGGGACCGGGGGCCTCGGCACCATCGGCCCCTCATCTCCTCCATCCCGCGGCCCCTCTCCCCGGGACCCCCAGCAACCCATGGCGGCCGGGGTCTCCGAGGCGCCGGGGGGCCCCGGTGGGCGACGCCGACAAACCCACCCCGGGAAATCTGCCCGCAAAGTCCCGCGCCGGGGGCCGCCCTCACCTCCACCGGCGCCAAGATGGCGGAAAGAGGGCGGGCCGGGCCCCGCCGCGCGGCCTTGTGGGACGCACGCCCCGCCCCTCGCCGCGCTTAGGCGGCTCGCGCTGCGCCGGAAAGCCGGGGTCCCGGGGAGCGGCGCGACTCAAGCCGAGCCACGCTCAGGGACTTTTACTTTCTTCTCCCGTCCTTTCATCTCTGCAAGCGGTAACACGTCTCGCCTCGAAACAAACATGCTAACAAACAAAAAGGCAAAGTTGTAGTCTACTAAGAAAAAGGCAAAGGTCCTACGGGGAGAGAAAAGGGACGCCTGCGCGTTGCCATAGCTACGCCTTAGTTTGGGTCCCGCTGCCTGCCGGGCTGGTAGAAAGGTGAGGGGAAAGTCTAGTGTTTCTTTCCTCTTCCTAGAATGGAGATTGGGATCCTGCCACAGAGGACAGAAAAACCTGGAGCACAAAGGCAGGGGAAACGCTCCCTTCTCTTTGCTCTCTTATTTTCTCCCATCTAAACCTTTGTCGTTCAAGAAACAAACAGGGCATGGTGATCCTTGCCCGTTAATCTCAGCACTCGTCCCGGAGGCTGGGGTAGGAGGAGGATCACGTCACGAATTCGAGGCCAGGCTGAGTTAGATAGCAAGGTCCGAGGTTAACCACGGGTCGCGGTGCTTGCTTGTAATCCCGGTATTCGGGATGCTCAAGCATCGCCTGCTACAGAGGGTGTGCCAGTCAGCCCGAGGCATATGAGATCCCTTCGCAGAAAGAGGAAAGTGAGAGACAGATGTATAGGTATATATTCGTTCTTCCATCCTTTGCTTGACTTGTCGGGTGAGGATGAACGTAGTCGACTCAGATTCACAGTTCATAACTATTGTGCATTAGTTGGGTCTGATTGATGGATTCATTCATTTATTCAACAAGTAATTTTTTGCGTGACTACCACTACCGAGAATGGTGTGGGCTTGGAGGGCGCTGCAGTAAACCCAACAAAAATTTCTCCCTCTTGCAGCCTACATGGAGGAGCAAGCTGGGCATGTTGGCTCTTGTGTCTGTAATCCCTGCACTTGGAAGGCTGAAGTATGAAGATCAGTTTATGTTTCAGGCCAGTCAGAGGTACATAATGTGTACAAGGATATCCTGGGCTACAGAGTAATATATCCCCACCCCCCCATCTCACTGCCCCCAACAAAAAACCCAGGACGACAAGCAGATAAAACATGTGGCATGTTAGAAGGTGATAACTTCCTTAAAAAACCAACAACAACAAAAAACCTGTTTATGAAGATGGGTGGTGGTGGCACAAGCCTTTTAATCCCAACACTCAAGAGGCAGAAGCAGGAGGATCTCTGAATTGAAGGCCAGCCTGGTCTACAGAGCCAGTTCCAGGACAACCAGGGCTACACAGAGAAACCCTGTCTTGAAAAAACAAAACCAAAAACTTGTTTATGCATACATGTGTATGTCCGGTGCATGTGGGTGCTTTCAGGGGTCAGAAGAGAGCCTCAGATCCACTGGAGCTGGATTCACATGCAGGTTTTTTTTTTCCCCAAAGAGGGACTGGACTGGAGATATGACTCAATGGTTAAGAGTACATATTGCTTTTGAAGAGGTCTAGGGTTTGATTCTCAGCATCTACATCACAGAACTCACAACTACAAACAGGCACACAAACATATGTAAAAAAATAATAATAAAAACAGTGTCTCATGTAGCTTAGTCTGGCCCCAAACTCCCTACATTAAGCCAAAGAAAGCTTTGAACTCTTGATTCTGCACCCCAACACCACCACTTTCCAAGTACTGGGATTACAGACTTTGGCCACAGTGCCCAGCTCTGAAGGATAATAACTTATTAAACTGATTTCCAGGATTCATAGTTTTTCTGGGGCTGGAAAGATGGCTCAGCCATTAAGAGCACTGGCTGCCCTTCTGGACCCACTGGATCCAGGTTCAATTCCCAGCATCTACATGGCGGCTCACACTTGTCTGTAACTCTGGTTCCAGGGGATCATCCAGCACTCTCACACATTCATGCAGGCAAAACACCAATGCACATAAAAATTAATTATCTTTAAAAAAAAAAACAGTTTTTTCAAATGTAATCTCAATTGTTCTAAGTCACAGTCCAGTAAATTCTGTTGTCTGACAGAACAGGGTAGACTCATTTATTTCAATATAGAGGAGAGAATAATAGAAAAAATTAAGTAATAACAAAATAAATCTGTTCTATAGTGATTACCAATTCAAAATCAGAACACAATGATACATACTAAAATTGTCCTTAAATTACCTTAAGAAGAGGCAAAAGACTGCATTCTGTTTTGGAGGACGAATAATGATACCAACCGCCGAATAAGCCTGCAGACCCGTGTGCCTGCTCTACCAAGGAGAAGGAGGCGAACCACAGCTCTTGTTAATTCTGTGATTTTTTTTTTTTCTCCTAGTGGAAGAACACGGGAATAAAGAAAACAGGATTCAGCATTCTTTTGAACTAATAACATTTTTTTTTTCCATTTTAGGTTACTGCATTCTTGTGAAATTATAGATCTACCCCAGAGGGCAAGAGAACTGTCACAGGAAGAATGGAAGGGTATGTTCAAAATTCCAGTTTGTTTGTAATTATTACATGATATCTAATAATTAAATTCTGTGGATTAGCTGTTGCTATGTAATAAACTATTGTTGTGGAATATTACTTTAACTAGGCAAAGATGTGTTACATGCTGCATTTTTTTTGTTTTGTTTTGTTTTGTTTTTTTCGAGACAGGGTTTCTTTGTGTAGCTTTGCGCCTTTCTTGGA